TGATGGATGTTTAAGAATTTGACACATTTCAAATGTGTCAAATTCTTAAACGTGACACATTTTTCCTGTGTGTTTTTTTGTTTCGATTCTATCGTTTAGTTTTTAAATTTTTTAATGTTAAGTTATCGTAGAGTGTGTTTAACATCTTTTACAAAACCTACAAATTGTTTTTGTAAGTATGAACCCTTTTGGTTATTTACTTATTTTTTACATCGTTTTATTTTTATTTGTAGTGAACTGATGATGCTTTTGAAAACTAAAAAAGCGAAACGTATTCGATTAAATCAATGAAGTAGTTGACGACTTTCATTTGCCTATTATTGACCGATACAACCTCTGCTATTCAACTATTGAATATTTTTTAAATTTAATCAACGGTCGTATTTTTTGCTATATATATATATATATATATATATATATATATATAATATATAAGTTAAATAAAAGCTTTTAAAAACGGTTGTAATATAAATAATAAATACTAAAGCAGTGCAATTGCTCTCCTTTTCCTTGACATAGGACGTTTACTGGGACTCATTTTTTATCTTGTCTCTTATAACTTATATCACTAACCTAATGTAATACTTAAAAATACGCGTAAACTAAAGAACTTTTAACTTATACCACTAAACTAATAATATATTACTTAACATACACGTAAACTAAATAATTTCAATGTTTTCAAAATAAATAAGAATACTGTAAACTGTAAAAACTAAGCAAGTTGATAAAGAAAATACAAGAATGAAAGAACTAAAAGGGATTCTAATTCAAGCGAACTAACTGACCGTACCCATAGAGAAATAAAAATAAGACCGTACCGTACGCTCATGTGATTTGACGTCACTAATGCGATAACGATCAAGCTCAGCGACAATGATGAGGAACACGTTTCACTATTAGATTTCAGTATTTTTTTAGCAATTTTCTTCAAAGTTTGAATACGCTTTTCTCGATTATTACTGGACACAGAAAGGTGAAAAAAGAATCAACGATTACAGAAAAAAAAACTCTTTCAACTGATGGGCGTGAAAAGTTTGGTTATAATAGAACGTTAAACAGTATAATCCAATTTTTCAACAGAAAATTCAAAAAAATAAAAAAAGTAAAACCATCAGTTTAAAGGCAACATAATTTCGTATAACATGTCCAAATTTCGAGACATTTCGTCGGTAAATAACAGAGAAAAAATTTTGGTGCACCGATAAAAACAGCCTTAACTTTGAAAATAAGGCTACATTCTCTGTCAGTTTCTGAAGAAACTGACAGAGAATGTAGCGTAGAAGCAATTTTAAACTGTTTGTCCTCGTTTTAGTGTAGTGTTTTGTATAATTTATGTTAGTTTTAATGTTTCAACTTCCTACGCTTGCTGGATAGATCTTATTTTGACGAAATGCCCTGAAGATGCTATTATAAGCGAAAGTACTTGGGCTTGATTTAATTATTTTGTGCTCGATAATAGCCTTATTTTCAAAGTTCATTTATTCGAGCATTCAACCTCATTTCATTTATAATTTTATTGGTTACTCGCCTGAATAGTTCAATTGAACTGCATCCAAACCATTCATGGAGATTGCGTAGCCACCACCAGATTACACCAGATTTTACGTCTTCCTACGTGTTCCGACTTCTGCGACTTTTGGAAGTAAGTGGCAACGCCGCGTGAGCAGTTTGGGGAAGTGGGTGGAACGAAAAGCATTGCAATATAATCATCGGTGCAAGATAAAATATATAAACGTTTTGTTAACGGACTCAGTTGTTTTAACTTGTTTTTAATAGTGTAAATTGAAAATAGTAAAAATAAATCTTCACTTGAAGTCTTTTTTGTTTAATCACATTGATTTCGAGCGAAATCAACGACACTACGCTTTTTCTACCTTTGATTTTACCCTGCATTATATTCCTTAGTAGTTCATATTTTTCACCTCTCATGATGTGCCCCATACTATAACTATAAACTTTTAACTATTAAGTAAATTAATATAATAAATGGTCAAATGCACTTGTATAGTCGAGTGTTTACCACAGGCGCCTATGGACTATCGTAAAACAACCAGAGTTGAAGAATAAGCACGTGTTTTTGACAGTAAATTAACCAGGTTCAGGCATGCGTATACAAAAACGGTACACGGATTTCGATGCTGTAGTTCTCTGTTTAGGTCCTGTATTAGTCCATGTGGACGTACAATGGATGTCCCCAATACATCCTTCTTAGGTCCTATATAAGCCCGTATTAAGTTTTGTATATGTACTATGTACGCCCTCATGAACATCCCTGGGACGTACTTTTTGGTAACATTTAGGTCTTATTGGACGTCCCGGGGACGTCCAAATTATGTAAACAGCTGTCCGTGGGATGTCCGGATATTTAATGACGTACATCCTTCGGACGTCCATGGGACGTACTTGTGCTGTCTGGGTTATAACTGTTTTATCTTAAACAACGAATAAATATACGTATATCCAGAAAAAAATGTGCATTTTTTATATATCCTTTTATTTTTTAATAATATATGTGAGATTATTTCATCGGAAAGTAATAAGATATTTTCCAGTAAATTTTAATTAGTAACGAAATAGCCCACAAGAGGCGCTAAAGGATATGTATGTAAGGGGTGACTTTCCCGGTAAAAGATGATTAGTAATGACCCCAGCCGCAAGGGGTCCTAATGAACGACATTTATACATTGAGTTGCCTATCTATTTCTATTATTATATTATTTATCTATGGTTTCAATGTACATTAACAATTTTGTATGATTTTAAACAACGCAACGTAACAAATGTTTTATTTGTTACAGCACTAACTCAACAAGAATTTGAAGAGTTTCTTTACGAATCGGATCTAAACATTTCCGATGAAGAAGACCCCATTATTTGTACTGCCAAAATCAGATAACAATAGTTCTGACTACATAAATTCTTCATATAACTCGAATATCTCAGAAGAAATCTCAGAGATTCTCTCCGAGTCAGTATTATCACTCTCATCGTCACTAACACAAGTATCGTGTACATCTCGTAGATCTATCAGAGTAGTTTGTAGTCGTGGTGCCAGAACAAGAGTAAAACGTAATGGAGGTAGACGTAATGGTACTCCAGTACCACTAACAGTTTTAACTGATCCATGGACCGGTAATTTCTCTCCCCTAGAAAGATCCCTTTACCAGCCAAGGTCTATAGATGTGGATTGTCAGATATGGACTCCTGAAAAAAATTTTAAGCAATATATTGATAAACGTATATTGGAAACGATAACTGTAGCAACAAATAGAAACCTTGAAAGAAAAGGAGCAGAGCTGAAATTGACAAGTAAAGAGATAAAATCATTTATTGGTGTCCTATTCGTTATGAATGCTATTGAACGCCAGAAAATTAGAATGTATTGGCCGAGAAAGTGCCAATCGTCAAAATGCTATTACGAAACCCAATTTTTTATAATCGGAACATCTCTTAAGGTTGTTTTTAATAATGAAATCAATGATCAACAAAGAGTAAACAAAATTTGAAAAGTCTTACTTCTCTTAAACAGTATACTAAATGGTTTTCATACTCAAATAAGATCTGATGATATAAGTATAGATGAAATGATAATAACTTTCACTGGTAATTGCGAAATTCATCAATACTGCCCAGGAAAACCTAGTACTGTTAGTATTAAGATTTCTGTACAGTGATTTAACATTCTCAGAGCTTACAGCATAAAAATATACCTTGGGTGAATCAGCAATTCGTAGTTTGTGTGAAAGTCTTGTTCCTGGTCATCACATTTACTTTGATTGCTATTTTACGTCAATAAAACTTGCTGATATATTACTAGAAAATGGTTTTCACTCAACATGTACGATTGTAAACAAGAGAGTCCCTCGACATTGTATCTTTTCTCCAGAAAAATAGTTCATAAAAAATCTAAGAGGTACATCTGAAACGAATGTTTGAGGTGATGGAAGCATTGCCACAACTCGCTGGTTAGACAACAAATCTGTTACGATTCTGTCAAGCTACCATGCTACTAACAACCCAGATAAATGCAGAAGATGGTCAAAACGTAAAAGTAATACGAAATGGTAAAAAAGATCGGAGGTGATCAAGAACTACAATCAGTTCATGGTTGGAGTTGACCTTGTTGACAGAATGTTGGTAGTCTGTCTGGAATGAGCACGTACAAAAAAGTGGATAATTTGTTTCATCAGCCACATGCTAGATTTAGCAGTTCAGAGCCTCTTTAGAACAGCGGCGTCGAAGGTGCGAATTGCCATGATGGTTGCCAACCTTCTTAGAGGAGATGGCACGTGAAGAAGATGAAGAACTTTTGGTGTCAATACAGAGCATTACAAAAGAAAAACATGTACGAGCCAAAAACATTTCTTAATTGAGAATATTAAAATTAGAAATGTGAGAACAAATGATTTTGGACAACACTCAGTCTTTCAATTCTGACACCTGTAGCGACTACAAAGACCTAAAGTGAAAAAATAAAAACAAAGAGTCGAAATTTAACCCATACCTGCCGAAGTTAAACGTCTTCATAAGGCTGAACATTTAGTGGACTACGCTGATAAACAAAAAGATGCAGAAAGGTCAATTGTAAAAATACTACAACTGCATTTTGTGTAAAATTTAAGATATTTTTATGTAGTAGGTAAACGGAAACTAAATTGTTTTTTACAGTTTCATACCAAAGACTAAGTACTAATACATTGTTCTGTGTATAAAAATAATAATTAATACAAGATTGCTAAAATATTTTAGAGAGTATTTAAGAGTATTTATTGTACTGTGTCTTTTTTATGTTTAAGTTTATTTTGGTAACAGATAGCCAAATTCAAAAATAATTTTTGAAAACTATTTCCGGATTGGAAATCGGAACGTCAAAAACAAAAATTTAATTTTTAATACAATCAAATGTGGTTTAATTTTGTATAAATATTTGAGATAAATATTCAGAGATAATATTTGTAAACTTAAGCTATAAATATTTTTAATTAAAAATATTACAGGTCATACAGCAGCAGTACAAGTTTTATTACAGGCAGGTGTAGCTGTAAATGCCGCAGATTTTAAAGGACTAACGCCATTAATGACAGCTTGCATGTTTGGAAGAACGGCAACGGCTGCCTTTTTGTTAGGTATGGGAGCTTCAAACGATTTAATGGATATTAATGGTGACACTGCTCTCCACTGGGCAGCTTATAAAGGACATGCCGACTTAATAAGATTATTAATGTATTCTGGTAGTAATCTTCAAAAGCCAGATCACTTTGGATCAACACCTTTACATTTAGCATGTTTATCAGGAAATTTAACATGCGTAAAATTACTTTGCGAAAAAGTAAGTATTATCATTGTTTAAATATTATTATATTGTTACTATTCTTATAATTATTATATTTTAATAATTTAAAAAGGCTTGTAAATGGAGGTTTATAGACCGTGCTTCGAAATTATTTATTCCTGATGTTTCGTCTGCAACTGCGACAGAGATTACACTGGCATGCGTCTTATTTGAGGTCGGTACTGTTATAAATGATCTTTTATATATCATGCATGTTGAATTCAAAAATGCAACTTATTTCCTCAATCATATCAGGTTTATTTACTATTCAAATTTTCGGAAAGTCAAATTGTCAAAATAAATGACAGCACAAGAATTATTATTTTGGATTTTGTGGAAAATAGATTTACATTTTAAATAATATACACAACTTAGCTATTCGTTACAAAAGTACCTTTTTACAAGACCTATTGGTTAATAAATTGCCGTTTTGAAACTTTCTGGCGTGTTTTTCATTTGTAACGGTCCTTGTAAGACACCAGAGTCTGCAAGCAAAATCAGATCCCAGTGGCTCTAGTGTCTATCTTCTATTACTTCAATATACCGATGAAAGCATTTCCATTGGTCTTCACTATAAGTATTCCAAATTTGAGATGAAAAAGTGCATCCTTATAGACATACGTGATGAAGTACTGATTAAATTTCTTTACAGTAGACTCATATTCCTGGCTCCTATAGTTACCAGAAAGTTTTTAATAACAGACTTCAATAAAACCCAAGCATTTCTCTGTTTCGTCTGCATGTTTTCATCAAACTTAGAGTTTTGCATAAGCTCCCTAATCTTAAGGCTATTAAAAATGTCAGCCTTTTCCAGCCTGGGGATTTTTAATAGGGAATTTTTCTCTCAGAAAAGAAAAAGCTCTACTATTTTTGTGAATTGTGGCCTAGTTTTAAATGGAGAGGCAGTAGTAGAATTTTCTTAGGATTGATTCACCAGAGCTTTTGGGAGAACGTTGTGTGAATCAGGTGTGAGGTGCGGTATTACTTTTCAGGCGCGTTTCACGTAATGCTGTCCGTTTGCTCTACTATTCCACAAACACTGTAAATAAGTATACTTGCTGTAGCCACCCTATAGACCCAATATCATGGACACTAGCTGCAATTCTTATTCCGATTATAGACATATGTAAAACTGTCTAAAAGTTATTTAATATACATGGTACTTTCCAAAAAAAGCTTGTAATTCGCAATTAAGCTTCCAGAATACGGAAATTTAATCGTATTTTTAAATGTAACTTACCTTCTAAGTTTTGCTATACATAAATAACAGTAAGTCGTCCTTGCCTTTAAATCATAGGTACATCAAAATCCAAATATGCTTGCTTCCTGTTGCTACAGCGTCGCAGACTTTTAACACATGATATGCAACGGATATGAGGTGCAAAATTTGTATTTTGATCACCAATCTTAACACCATACCATATGCAAGATACTTTTACGTAAAAAGAGGGTTTTTTATCTGATCCAATATTGTAACTTTATCACAAATATAGCAAATCCAATCAGGATAATTCTTGAACTTTCGATTCATTCTGTAAGAGACACTCACGTACTGAGTGCAAACAACCTGTAACTTAGGGTTACGTCCTACCATCGCACTCTTACACAGTTTCCATATTTTTCCTCGTCCACTATTGCCAATTGTCTTGTTGGTAAATTTTGAGTCATGTTTCTGTGTGTCGAGGTCAGGAGATACTAAGATTGTCTGACCATCAATATGTGCTAACTCACCCCCTCTGTGGCTCAGTGGTAAGAGCGCCTACCTTTAAATCTAAAGGTCGTGAGTTCGAATCTCATCTGGGTGGAAATTTTCGCTTATTAAAAATTAATAAATGAAAATAATTTCTATCCTTGTGCAATCGGTACTCACCAAAGGGACCGCAGACGTTCTGATACAATTAGCGTCTCTTAGCAAAGACAATGACGTCGACTTTGCTAAGTATCAAGACAATTACTCTACACACACACACACACACACACACACACACACACACACACCACCCACACACACTCACACACACACTACATTAGGTACCTGACTGTACCATGCCAATGATCATAGTTGTCGAGGCATTAACCCAATAAAAAAAAATGTGCTAGCCCATTTAGCGTTACACAGGGTAGAAACTGACTGATAAACAGTTAAAACAAATATACGTAAAAATGAGAGTAAGGTAACAAAAAGGATAAAAATAATAATGAATATATTAAGGGAAGTCTACGTGTAGAGCTATTTTGTGCCAAAATGAGAAGATATTGGTTAAGATAATTAAAACGCGTTTATCATCGAAATAATAAGTACAATCTACGAAGAATAATTGCTTAGTAACAAGTTCTTGGAGGAAGTAAAATATAAAGAGCAAAGAAAAGGTATTGAAATATACTTAGACAGGACATGTCTGTGAAAGGGATTTATATTGATATGGCAACAAAATAATAACACAATCAGAATGCTCACTCTGCTTGATCAGCCATGTTTTAAACGGAATCAGTTTTGTTCAGTGAAATTTTATTTGGTGTACTATATATATATATATATATATATATATATATATATATATATATATATATATCGTCGTCAGACCCGCGCTTATGCAAAATTAATCAGCGAGTTATTTTATTAATTTCTGATCTAAGTGACTTCCAAATATGTTATCGAAATAATTTTTACCAAGTTTTTTTTTCTTAAATATAAAAAAATATGTAAACATATGTGACCGTTGAGTTTATACAACACTATCATGTGTACATTTTACTCGTAATTGTATTAAAGGTAATAAAAAAGAAACAGATTTCGCTCAATAGTGTTTATTCCATAAAAAGTGAAATAACGAAAACGTTTTACAACGTCTAAATATTAAAAGATAAGGTAGATTTACTTCGAATGAAATTTCAGAAAACATTTTCAAATATGGCATTTAAACCTAATGTACACATCTGTGAACAATTTTATTTTAATGACTGATAGCTTTACAGAAAGTAAAATTTAAATAAAACTATACAATCTATCTTGTAAATTAATCCTTAGAAAACGATATAACCAGGTTTATTTTTTTCGATGACTAACTTTACAAGAAATTTAATAAGATTTACCTCGTGAAGTATCCATTTTCTAAAAACTCAAACTCAAAACACAAACTTCCTCAAAACACAAACTTTGCAGTTGAACTAATTACCAGGTACTGATACTATGGTACTGGTCAAAATAGAAAATAGTCATACTCGAGTATATAACTGTAACAAATAAAAAAGTGGAAAATTTTGACAAAAATGTATAAAAACGATTTTTTTAAACATCTGTTACTCCAGTCGGCAGAGACGAAAATCCCACTTTACCTCTAAAAAACAAGTTGAATTCTGCCGAGCTTTCCCCTAAAACCCCCATCGCAGGGGGTAAATGAAAACTCTGAAATTTTTAATAATATGGCATCTACAACACCTTCATCGTTTTCAGTACCAGAATTTAATAAATTTAAACATGACAATTTCTTAAAGCCCCTTTGAAACACACAAATTCTTTTGAAATATAACCTTAGATGAATTTCAGCTTAGATCTGTTTGCTAGGTGTACAACTAGAAAACCTGAAGGCTTTAAAAATGTGGCTATAGTGACTTATACTGAGAATACCTTAAAAAGACAGAGTGACCAACACACAGGTATTGCGACGATTAGGTAAAAAGATCTAATTAATTAACAACCGTTAAAATAAAGAAAGCGTCATATTTTGGCCATGTGTTCGGTAATAATAAGTTAATTCTACTACATCATATACCGGAACGTAAGATTAAAACTTGAAAAGGTTTGGGAAAAAAGAAAAAATGTTGGCGGATAAACTTAAGAGAATGGTTTCAAATACCAGAAGCTGCAAACATAATACGTACAGCATAAAACAAAGGAACCTACCGTTTGATGGTCACCAAGCTTCAGTAGAAGACGTTACATAAAGAAGAAGAACTAGGATATCCATCACCTACTGTAGCTGGGCTACAAAGATACCATCCTCCTCAGAAGACTTGTAGAACTGAAGACTATCGATTATATTTGATTTCCATTCCATTTTTTTGTGAAGATTTTTATTGGCATATGATTCAACCAGAGTCAGACTGTCTCGAGTTTTTTTTTTGCAATTTCAATCTTATAATTAACGCAACAAGAGGAAGATCACCAACAAGATGCATCGACCAAATTACAGGAATATGCAAACGATCTATGCATGAGTTAAAACAAATCACCAGAGACATCTTTGAGGACGGAAAAGAGGATACCATTTAGTATATTTCGGCAAATGATAGGATTTAAATTATTTATGCTGTATCTCAACTTAGAAATGCAGTTCTCTGCGATCTGATATCGATAAGTCATTAGATACGTGCTTGTTCTGTATTAAGTTCGTAGTAAGTCAGCTCCTTAAATGTTACGTGTACTCAGTGCTTCTGTATGGAGTAGAAACGTGGACATTGAAGGCGGAAACTCTATCAAAACTTCAGGCTTTTGAGCTATAGTTATACAGAAGAATCCTGAAGATACCATGGACAGACAAAGTCACCAATGAAGAAGTACTGCGGAGGATGAACACAACAACGGATTTGGTCAACATTGTGAAGAGCCGTAAGCTGGAGTACTTGGGACATACAATGAGAAATCAAGGCAAATACGAGCTACTCCAATGCATTTTGCAGGGTAAAATTAAAGGAAAAAGAGCTTAGGACGAAGAAGAATATCCTGGCTTGCTAACCTGAGAGCATGGTATAGAAATACCTCAACACAGCTATTTCATATAGCAACCAACAAAATTATCATAGCCAGAATGATCGCCAACGTTCGGAATGGACAGGCATCCTAAGAAGAAGAAGTCAACTCATTAGTGTAATATTCCGTATACCTGTCCCTATTTCAGTGCTAAGTATGTAAATTATCTTTGATGTAATCAGAATCTGTACATTATACTTTTTAAGCACCCAACTGCAGCTTTATTTTCTTTTATGGCTACTAAGTA